ATTTGGGGAATGGACTTTTAGCTTTAATTTAAGGGTTTAACCCTTATTTTAAGGGTTACGGAGTTGTGTTTATGTTTACATTTAAAATCATAGTATTTTTTGAAAGCCATGGTATTTTTTTTGAAAGCTGAATGAAATCAGAAACTGAAATTCATAGACATTTTTTGATTGATTCTGCCCTCATACGGTTTTCAACAATAAAGTAACTTCATTGGCAGCAGCAGAATTATTTGTTTTACAGCAGGGTAAATAAGAAAAAACTCAGGTTCACTGTTTTTTTTCACAAGATGAGGTCTGGTGCCTGTTAATCAGCTACTGGTTCACCAAGTATCTGAAATTCTTCCATCCAGAGGATGCTTGATATTCTTCTTTACTGAAGTATGATGTATGCATGCTATAATTGGAAGGTATGAGTCATAACCACTTAGAAGACAAGATTCTTGCCTTCTCATTAATACAATTCATATTTAAACTAGCTACCATTTTCTCTTGAATTCTTACATCTTTATATGTTTCAGAATTAAACATGCTTTCATAGAAATGGAAGTCCTGTTTTTCCCCAGGTTTTTAGAGACACTTTACTTCTTAAATTAAAAGCACTCTGAAAGAAGGGCCTGTTTTCTTACAGAAAAATTCATCACTCATACAGGTATTTTCACATATGTTAGGATGCCTGTCCATTTGAATAAGATTTACTTGCTTCATTAAAAGCTTGGGCATAAAGGCAAATGGTTTTGTGGTACAGATAAAAACTTGAGAAAAGTCTGACTCGTAGTCCCTCTTACAACTACCAAAACCAATTGCACTGTGTAAAACTTCTTTGCGTATGTTCTTTTTCCTTTTTAGACACATGAAATCCAGCTCAATTAAAAGATGAATCCATTGTCCAACCGTTTAGAAAGTGTGTGTTATAGCTGCCTCTGATTGTACATACCAACAAAACTATGAAAGGTTTTGACTAAAGCTAGGAAGCTCTTAAGAGCAGCCTTAACTTTACAGACAGACCTACATCATGCTCTCCCTATCAACAGGCTGCTCAGCCGCCTAAGGTCAAGCTTACATACCACAAAGTTCTGCTTTGATGTGTATTCAATTTAAGCTTAATTATAAGTATTCATTATGTTTTTTCTAATTTTTACTTTTATTATTCCAAAAGAAAGATTTTGAGATTGTATAATTGTTTAAAAAAATGTGTAAAAACCATATATACAAACCAAATAAAATAACGATATGACCTACAAACTGCTCAAGCAGGCAACTTAGAAAAAACCTGTGTCAATGTTGTGCATGATATATCTTGATCAAATGTTATGGTGAGTTTAGTCTTGCCTTATTTTATCTATCTAAAAACTAAGCCGGTTGCACATAGTCAGTTGAAAGAGATGTATGTGTCCAGAGGGCTATTTATCTCATCTGTCTTGGACACATATCTTGAACTGGAATGAGCTGACCTATGGAGGTCCATTGACCACTGAAGGATCTTATTTTAGGACTTCTAAAATTAGGCTCTGACTATGAATTAAAAGAAAAAAAGAAAGACTCCTTTTTTCAGAAGCATAGCTGAATTAGATTTAATCAAGAATATTATTTCAAATATCTACAATTAATGTGAAAGAATATAGAAAAAGAACATTCTTCAATTAAGCCTGCACTAAAGTAATGTTTTTTAATTGAACAATATCATCAGGAACACTAGGTAAATCTGAGCTTTAATATTCTCATTTTTTAAAACTCTTCTTAGAAAGTTGGACTTGCTGATGGCTTATGAGCTTTAAGGTGCTACAGGTTGAGAACTGACGTAAAAGTAAAAAACCAAACAGACAAAACTAAACACTTTGAATTTTTCATGCAAGATAAGTGCCTGTACATGCTGCTTACATGGATAAAAATGCTCACGATAGTGAATAGTCTCAAAAGTTTTACACTAATGTGCAAATACAGTATTTACTACAGACATTCCCTGTTGACTATACAAGCAAATTTAGGGTGGCTCTTCCTAGGGATAATAGGTGGTCTTCTACAATACAGACCTCTAGAAAATCTACCTGCAAAAATATTTACTTGGGATTCAACAGAGCCCACAGGACTGCATGTTTGGCTTGTCAGTGGTAGATATGTTTCCCAAGAATAAAAGATGGAGGGGGAATAAAAGATGTGCTGTAAGGGTTCTTGTGTATTTCACCAAAAACCACCAGAGGTATTGATCACCTTTTAGGACCCATGAAAAATGTTGAGGGACAGAAAGTCCTCAGTAACAGAAAGGTTGAGGAATAGAAATTGGGGCAAGGTATCATACAGGTGAATGATGTGTGATAGAAATATTGATACCTGAGTAATGACTTGACAGTTTTCTTTTACGGCCCTTGCCTGGAGTACCCATTCTAGAGCAGGTAAAATGTATGAAGGACCTTTATAGTAGCAGCACACCCATTCAATATTCAATATAAAGTCTCATAGGAATGTGGCAGGTGACACAATATTTCAGAGTCGTTAGGTATAATCCTGGCACCTTAGCATAACCTGATTCATTAGGGCATGTTTTCTAACCGGTGTGTGCTCTTTTGAAATGATAGGGTAGGATATGGCTTACTTGGCTTCTAGGGCTATTGTCTGTTCTGCATTGAATTTGCTGGAAGGATATTAAATGTGTCAAAGCTGATGTGGCTCAGATTTTGGTAAGTCACCTGGAACAGAAGGTGGCTGGAGAAGGGTCCATGGTACATGTCTGCATTAGGGCTTCTCAAGACACCCACTGTGGACACAAATGAAAATTCAAGTCTCACTACTAAATAAAGCTGGGAAAACTTACCAGGCAAACATGGATGTTTGAGGAGACACCAGGTGAAAAACCCTTATCTTATTGTAATCACACTGGAAAAGGGATCAGTCAATCTCTAGAGGCGCCCTCAGATGGCAGTGCAGTACAAAATAGTGTGAACTGAGGATGTAGAACAACCAGCATTCCCCATATGCTCCACATCTCTTCCAAAAGCTGCTGTTGCTTAACAGTAATAACAACCTTAGAGCTGTCATCTGCTGCTTCAGCTGGGTGTAACTCCTGTCTGTAGATTTTCATAATATTTCTTGGGTGCATCTCTTGCACAAGATGAGCTACCTACCTTGAAGATATGTGGGATTTCATGGCATAAATTAATTGAACCCCATAACTTCAGTCGCTTTTGAGATGATCCTACTTTGTGCCTGCAGCATTCCTCTGGACTTGCTGAATTTCCAAAGCCTTCTCTTTAAAGGCTTTGAGGATTCCTAGCCTTCAATGTCAGAGATGACTCTATAGTGACTGAGCACCAAAATCATCACAGAACAAAGAAAAAACTCATGTTCTTATTTGGCACAAAAATTTGCCTCTGTCATTGGAATACACATGAAGTTCAGCACCTGATGAGACAGTCCACTGTGGTGCTACAGTTTGGACCTGGAAAATCCTGTGGTCTTCTGAAATGATGTGGTTGAATGACAATATCTTCATCACCTCTTTCCATGAATCTCCAAATGCTGAGACTTTTACTTATTCTGCCTGTGGCTGTGGCAGAATGGGATAAATCTGAAGCTGGTGTAGAGGATTATTCCTCCTTGGTTTCTATTATGCTGAGCACACCTGAGCATGGACCGTGGCATTTAAG